AGCCCCCGTGGGGCACTAACGGGCATTGCCGCTGCTGGCCTGATCAGGGCAGAGGAGCTGCTGCACTTCCAAGTCAGGGACGACTCCTCTGCTGCAGGAAACCCCAATTGCCTGGTGCCTGAGTGCCACCTGAGTGCCACCAGCACAGTGTGCCGGGAACAAGTCCCTGGCACTTAGGGAGGCCCCTTGCAGCAGATCAGCTCCCCGGGAGGGACTTGGCGTGTTTGTCCTTGTTTAGGGCAAGTGGGTGAAACAGAGGAAAAAGCACAGTCAAGCTCAAGAGAAAAGCAGAGGCAGCACCAGGCTTTGAGACTGGATAAGAAAGAAGGTGCAGGGGGGCAGCTGAGGGTGACACATGCCAAAATACCCCCTGCCACCAGGTCAGGGGCTGTTTGTCAGTCTGTCCCTCCAGAAGGAGAGGCCCCTGGATGCTCCAGCACATCAAGTTTAGCCGTGCGGTGCCATATGCCCAGCTGCAGACCGTGCTGCCGCAGGCAGGACAGCTGTTTGGGACGGATCTGGCCCCCACCCCCCACCACTTACAGTCTCTGAGGGTGAGCATGGTAGGCAGGAGCTGTTTGAAGGGCATGCCAGCAGGACATCCCCTCACAGGGGCGCACAGAGACCCCAGGAAGTCTGCCCACCGGGAAATGCCGAGAGCCCTAGAGAAAGCTGCCAGAGAAATGCTTGAATGGCCACTCTGCACCGCAGGCTCCCAGCCAGCAGCTGCTCCCGCGTGAGGCCCCTGCCCTTCCCGTGGGCTCAGTCATCCCCTCCAGCTGCAGGACAACAGCCGCTGAAGCCAGGCTGGTCCCCTGCCACGCATGCCATCCCCGTGCAGCGGCCTCGGGAGCGCAGCGGGGCTGAGGTCCCTGGGGACATGCCCTGGGGACATGCGGGGGGCTGAGCTCCCTGGGAATGTGCAGGGGGCTGAGCTCCCCGGGTGTCTTGTGGCAGGGTGCAGGGGTGGAGGCGGGTGCCGGAGCGCGGAGCTGTGGTGGGTGGGGGGCCGCAGCTGGCGATGCCCTCTAACGCCGTCCCCTTCACCCTGCTCGCCCACAGCGTGGAGCACGATTTCCGGCAGCAGGAGGGCCGCTTCCAGCGGGTGCTGAGCCATATTGAGGGTGACATGATGCCGAGCTCCCCTGCGGCAGCGGCGGGGGCCGTCCTGCTGCCCAGGCAAGAGCCATCGCCGGTGACGAAGCTGCCTGCGAAGCTGGACGCAAAGAAATCCAGGCGCAAATGCTTCTGGTTCCTGTGAGCCAGCAGTGCCTGGCGGGCCAGGAGCGCAGGGGCACCATCCCAGCACTGACCCCCTGCCCACATCTCCTTCCTCCTTTCCCTCCCTCTGATGGTAGGGTTTGGGTAGCACCAGCTTTTATATTTTTAACCGTTCACTTTAATCTGTCGAAGCCCCTGTGTAAATAAGGTGAGGGGATCAATGGCTGTATGTAATGAGAATTCAATAAATTCTACGGAGACACTATTTTTGTTACATCCTCTCCCACCTGTGCACTTCTGTTCTGGATGAGGATGAGGAGGGGGCCGGTGGCCGTTCCCCTGCATGGGCTGCAGTGCTTGCCCAGCCCCAGGTGTCCACAGCCCCTCGGCGAGAGCAGCCTTGGGCCCTCCTCTGCCTCAGGGCTCCCTGAGGGCCGCCTGCAGCCCCGGTGCTCCCAGCCTGCCCTGGCTGAAATCAGCGCCCATCCCTGCACCTCACAGCACGGGCTGCTCGCCCGTCCCCCCAGCTGCTGCCTGCAGGTTAATCAGGAGTGCCGAGGATCTCTCCTGCACCCCTGGTCAGAGACAGTGGAAAATGGTCTCTCTGGGACCCTGGCCGGGAGAGAGGAGACCTGTCCCCAAGACCTCCCGGGTGGGAGGGTGGGCTGCGGGGGGGGTCCCGGGGGACATTGCTCTCCTTCTAGCGAGCTCCCCTGTGTGAGGGCTGGGGCCTGACCCCTGCACAGCCTGCCTGTACCTGGGGCTGCCACAGTAGTAGGGGCTGCTTGGGGCTGCAGGGGCTAGAAATTCCCTCTTCCCCTTTACAGCCGGCTGGCAGGGCCTTCCTGGCTGCAGGATGCGCTGGCTAATTACAGGGAGAAAGGAATTAGCAGCTCAAATATTCCAGCCTCTGCAAGGCTGCCCACAAGAGGACAAATTCAGTGTTAGTTTAATGAGGGTCCAAGATCAAAGCAGCCTGCAGCAGCAGTGGGAGATGAGTGTATGCTGAGTGCAGCGCAGTAAGTGCTCCCCACACTCCCCAAAGCCCACCGGCATGCGCCATGCCCCGGCCACTCTCCACCACCATGGAGCCGTGGGGCAAGTGCTCCCCAGAGCCCAGGACCGGACGACAATGCCCACATGCAGTACCACGACTCCCACCTCAGCATCCACTGGCAGCAGGAGTAGTCACAGCTCCTCCAGCAGGGCCACCGGCCTCGGAGAGGAGGACATCGTCCAGCCTCCTCCGGGAAGCGCCTGGCACCCCGGGCCACAGCAAGCGGCTGTTGCAACCAGAGGTCTGGCGAGGGGGGGCAGAGGGCAGGAAGGTCTGGCCACGGCCTCTCCAGCCAGCAACACACCACAGTAACCCAAAGCAGGAGACTCACACGTGCAGGAGCTGACATGGCATTAAGCCCCATCTCTTAGAATCATAGAATCATAGAATCATTGAGGTTGGAAAAGACCTCTAAGATCATCGAGTCCAACCGTCGACCCAACACCACCACCCACTAAACCATGTCCCTAAGTGCCTCATTTACTCGTCTACTCTTGTGCCCTCTACTCATCTGCCCTCTACTCTTGTGCCGGGGACCTGCCTGGTGCTTGCAGGGCTGCAGCCTGGCAGTGCTGAGAGGGGCCGGCAGTGCCGAGGGGACCCCGTGGTGCCGAGGGACCCTGACTGCTCGGGCCATGTGCAATGCTGCAGCACCCACTGCCAGCCCCGCTCACCAGTAGCTGCCCGAGCCTCAGCCACAGCCTCCTGCGGCAGTTCATCCCTTCCCTGCAGGGCGCTCGCAATACCCGTGGGACGGGGCCAAGCTGTCAAGGCGGGGAGGTTGGAGGCCTCTCAGCACCCGAGTTCCTGGGAGAGTGAATCTGGGGCGCTCCTCCCTTCTTGCCCAGCAGCAACAGGATGGATGGAGGCCACTGCCAGCATAGGCACGCGTGTCTCTGGTCCCCCCAAGCCTTCCTAGCAGCCACAGCTGCTGGAGCAGCCTGGGCTGAGGGGCCTTGGACACTGGGGTGAAAGCAGGGGCTGCAGCAGCAGCATGGAAATCATGAACGACACAGGGAAAGCTGCCAGACGGCGTTTCTGGAGCCCGGCAGGGCTAGCGCATGGGAAGGGGAGCAAGTGGTGGGAGTCAGGCGCAGGCAAAGGATTGCTCCCCTTCTCCCACACTGTATATGGAGCCACACTTCAGTACCCAGCGTCCCTCCTTGCCTCTGTCACAGCCTGGCAGAGTGCGCCCAACAGCTCTTTTTGCTGTTGCTTCCTCTGGTGCTGAATCACGCAGCCTGGGAACAAAGGCTAAAAGCAAGACAATACCAAATGCAACCCTGTATGCATCTCCTGCCTGAGCCGCATCTCCTGCCTGAGTCACATCTCCTGCCTGAATCATACTCCAACGCTGAGAGCCCACTGTGCCTGCCCAGCACGGCCCCAGCGGTGCAGCTTTCGGCAGCAGAGCTGTGGGCACGTCTGGCAAAGCAGCACTGCCTGGCCACGAGGCCACTTGTGCCCAGGCATGTGTCAGGGACTGCACCCACCATTGGCTCAGCCAGTAAAGCCACCCCAGGACGGCAGAGCCGCTGTCGGGAAACGTCACCACGGGGCTGCACCACCAGGGCTGTGCCGGCCGAGCGGGCAGGGGAAGGCAGGCTGAGCCAGGAGCCAGAGGGGAGACCTTGTGCCTCCCCTGTCCCTTGGGGGTACAAGAAGGGGTCACCAGGCAGGCAGGGAGCAGCAACGCCGGTGCCTCAGTGCATCAGTGGGAGCAATCCCACCACCCGGGACACTTGCAGACCAGGGCAGCCTCATCCGCCGGAGAGCATGGGCGGGGCCAGTGAGGATAAAGCTCCTGTCCTGCCCGCCAGCTTTATTGCCTCAGTTTAGTTAGGTTTTTATTAACGAGAACAAAGAACAGGATAGCAAACCTGCAGACTTATCCCAGGAAGGCTCAAGCAAAGGGCCAAGCTGCCACTCCGGATGCCCACACCTCCCTGGGCATGGCACGCAACGCAACACAGCACGGCACAGCATGGCGCTTCCCCACAGCACGGCGCTTCTCCACTGCTGCACAGCCCCGCTGCTCGCTCCGGGCTCCCGAAACACAGTCGGACCCAGCTCCTTGCCCACCCTCATGACCCACTGTCAGGCCCACGCCTCACTGCCCAGCCAAGCACACTGGGTCTGCCGCCATGTCCATATCAGAGTGCCCATGAACCCATGCTGGCCACAGCTCTGTTTCCGTCTCCTTCGTGGTTAGATCATTGCACCTGGTGCAGCTGCTCTGCATGAAGCTTTAGCTGAGCAGTGCTCTGACCTGCCTACTCCTCCCACGAGAGGTGGGTGTCCCAGCACATTCCTCCCACTTGTTCTTGGCATGTAAAATTGTGACGGTTCACCGCATCCAGTCGCTTGTTTTCTGGAGAATACAGCCCAAACCTCTCATCTGCTTCCAAAATGGGCTTCCTGCATCACAAACACCCTGCCTGCTCCTCCCAACGCACCCTCTGCTCCAGACCTGCTCCCAGCATGTCTCCCCCTCCCTTTTGGGCTTTCTCGTGCATCCTGCTGTGTTTAATACCTGCACATCCAGCCCCAGCCAGCTGGGTACCAGGCTGCAGTGCCAGCTGAGGAGCAGCGTTGGCCACCCGGTCCCAGACCCCTAAATCAGTGATGCCTTTTGCATCTCCCACGTTGCCCAAAAGCAGCCATGGGAAGCGGCGCAGCCCCGACGCCTGGCGCAGCACAAGGTGGTGGTGGTGGTACTCACCCGCAGGGTGTTCTCCCGGTCCAGGATGATCACCCTCCGATTGACGGTGTGCAGCAGCTGCTCCAGGATCAGCTGGATGTGCTTCTTCACCTTCACCTGCAAGGCAAGAGGTGTCATGGCCATGCCTGAGCACCTGGTGCTGCCTGCCGTGGTGCCGGGAGGGAGGGCACAGGTGACAGCACCATCACCACAGCTGACAGGAATCGCCGCCGCGGCACAGAGCCAGCATGCGGTCCCCAGTCCCCACAGGCAGCCAGTGCTGACAGGTTGGGGGCATGCTGCCTCCTGGGCCACACGCGATTGGCCCCGTGGCACCGCCACAATTACTGTGGCTCACCAAAAAAAGCAGGCAAGGAAGTTGCAAAGCGTTTGCAGTTATTCTTGGCAGAGGGAGCAGGAGATGGGACTGAGGGCACAAGTTTCCTCAGCACCCCACAGTGCCCTGTGGAGTGGGGAGGAAGCAGCTCTGCTCCAGCCGCGGAAGACAGTGGCCATCAGATGAGCCCCAACACCTCTGCAGCTCCAGCTGTGGGGGACCGTGGCCACCAGACGAGTCCTGCGCCCAGGATCCTCAGCCATGGGACCAGACAGCTCTGGTCCTTGGTGGTGGCCAGACGGGAGCACGCTGCCAGAAGGGACAGGCTCGTGGCACCTTGGGAGACGGGAATTCACGAGCTGACTCTAAAGATTCATGATTTATATGAAATACTGAAATAAAAGTCTTGTCCACTCCAGCACAGCAAGTACGGCTCGTTTAATCACCATGCAGGGGGCTGGCAGCATCAGGGTGACCAGCTGGAGCTGCAGCTGGAACAAGGCGATGCGCTCCGGTGTAAACATAGGGCTTGGGGTGTCTGCACAGCTCGGCCTCGCACGCCTCCCTGGCAAAGCTGGCCACCCAGCTGGGGACGGCTGGGGACGGCTGCATCTGCGCTAGCCAGAGCTGTCCCCCAGAGCAGTCAGTACTGCAGACAAAGGTGGGTTTCAGTTCACATGGGGTTGAAACAAGAGAAGTATCCTCACCCATGAGCATCCTGACTATCCTCTCCTTAAAGGCTATTTTAGGTTTAAAAGTTAAGGCCAAAACAAGACATTTCAACCACAATTTCCAAGCTTTGTCTTCTGTTGCCTGGGCTTCCCAGCGCCACGGGAATTAAAAAGCCACACTCACACAGCCACCTCGCCCACCCAGGACATGGTGGCACATGTCTAATTCAGCTTCCACAGCGCCGGTCGCTGTGCTGTAGGTGTGACATCTGGACTTCCCAAGGGGTCCCAGAAAGGGACCTCAAAGCACAGACCAGCCTAGAAAGGACAGAAACAGAGGAAGCATCCTGCAGAGCCAGAGCACAGGTCCCTGCACTTTCCCAAAACATTGCAGGAACAGCCACCACCAGCAGCTGCCATGCGACTTCCAGCCACTTGGCCCTGCTGTGGGTTGACTGGGGCTTGCAGGGAGAGACGGTGATGGGCTCACTGGTGGCCCAGGGACATGGCCCGATGCTAGTTGCAGAAAGGCAAGGGGACGGAGGGCAGCACTCAGGCAACACGGGGAAAGGGGGATGGCTACCGAGGTATGGACACGCCTGGCCCCGCCAGGTACATCAGCCCGGCACCACAGCGATGTGACCCAGCATCCCACACCACACAGCGTGCCGTGTTTCTGTGCCGCAGGAAACGGAGGAGGAGAAGGGTGACCCACGGAGGGAGCTGCCAGCACAGTTGTGTGAAGGCTGTGCTCACACCTGTGACTTCAATGTGTTCAGCCCAAGCACCCATGATGCCAGGGCAGGAGCCTACAAGGAGAGCCATGACCGCAGGTCACACTGCTGGGGCTGTTGGCAGTCACCGCTTGTGCTCTGTCTTTTGTACGCTGCTTCCAGTGTTGCAAGCCCACGCTTTATCCTTCCAGCGCCTGGGGAGCGAGTCCAGTGGGGCCGAACGGGGCCACCAGCATGCTGCGGGGCGGTGGCCCAGCGCAAGCCAGCTCTGGAGTGCTAGCATGCCTCGCACATGCCTCACCTGCCATGCTGGGAACACTGCTGGGCCACCCCGCAGCTCCAGTGCCACCCGAGAGCCATGAGACCTCGCTTGCTCCTCACCCAAGCGAGGAGCCGGAACGGCCCAAGCCAATCCGCCAGTGCACAACAAAGCACCGAGGCCGCAGGGGGCCAGGGCGACGGTCTGGGCACAGACACCCCCCACTCCAGAGCGGGACACGGGGCACTAGAGGCTCACAGCAAGCCTAGAGCCACACAGAGCCCCGGCCTTCCAGCCCTGCAGAGCACCTCCCAGGCCTGACCCCATCACTGCATGGGACACAGGGCACTAGGGGCTCACAGCAAGCCTAGAGCCACACAGATCCCCGGCCTTCCAGCCCTGCAGGGCACCTCCCAGGCCTGACCCCATCACTGCAGCATCCCTGCCAGCAGCCCAGCTCTGCGCGTTGACTCCAGGTGACTGTACAGAGTTTGTCACTGTAGTGAGATGCAGACAAGCCCTTCCCAAATGCATAGGGGTGCCTGGCTCCTTCTCACCATCTGCTGAGTGCCGAAGCCCACCAGAGTGGCACTCACCAGCTCGGTGTCCCCACGGTCCTTGTGCCATCCCTCGCCTGTGCCATGCTGCGCTTGCAGCTCCTCCGCTCTCTGCAACAACAGTGCCCTGAGAAGTTGGGCTGATGCCCAGCAAGGACAGCCCCGTCCCACCAGAGGCCAGCCCAGGACAAGTCAGGCACCCGTAGCAGGACCATGCCTAGCTGGATGCCCAGCCTGCTCAGCCCTGAGTTGCAGCTGGACTGGTTGTTACTGTGGTCTCTTGCTTTGGTACCCCACACCAGCAGGCAGGCTCCTACAGGCAGTGCAGGGGGAAGGGGGTATGTGGGGCTCCCCGCCGCCCCAGGGACGGTCAGCTCTCTGCTGCGGGGTGCTGGGCTGGACCCCCGTGCCGCAGGGCTCTGGCTCACGTTTAGGGCCATCACTGCTAATTTTGAAGTGCAATGCTGCCCAGGGGCCAGCAGGCAATCGCTGACCAGCTGCCTTCTCCCCTGCCCTTGCCCTTCTCCTGGGCCTGCAGAGCAGGGACAGCGAGAGGCATGGCTGGGGATGCACCCCCTTGCCCTCCAGTCGGTGCTGTCCCTTGGCTTGGAGGCCTCTTCCCCACTTATGAGGAATGACAGGAACTCGCCAGAGACCAGCTGAGGTGGAAATCAAAAGGTTTTTACTCCCAGCTTAGGCAGGTTCTCACTGGGATGGTGGGTGCCAACAGCCCCCTTTGACTTTGGATGGACCACAATCAGTCCCAACCATATCGTGGCCAGTAATTTGTGCTTAGCCCTACTCAAACGGGTTTAGTCAGGTCATTTCCAAGGTGATTACTGGAGAGGGAAAAGGAGGCAGCAGAGAAGACGGGATTTACCTTCTGGGCCTTGTACAACACCTCCAGGATGTTGCTGAGCAGCTCAATGCAGGCATCTTCCTCCTCCCCCTTCTCGATCAGCTCTCGCAGGATGGGCACAGCCATCTGCAGCAGCAGCTCCCGGCACTCTGTTGGGGCAGACAGGGAGGCACGGGGCTGGCGGGCGTGCCAGCACCGCCCCGGTGTGGGAGAGGACCGGGCAGGAAAGGGACCAACAGAACGGACAGGACCAGCATGACGCCTGGTCTGGGCTGCGACTCACACACACAGAGCTGTCAACTTCCTCCTTGGATGGAGCAGGTTTTTAGAAAAACACTAAATCCTGGTGGGAAGGCTCCAACACAAAGAATTCATTGCACCCTGTTGCACAGCTACTTACCCTCTCCGCTAAAATAAACTAAACTAAAATAGAAAAGCCTCATCTGAACCTCTCTTGCTTCGGCTTCCACCAACGGACTTTGTTCTGCTTCTCTGCTCTATTAAAGGTGCTTACGATTTAACTAAATAGATGGAAATTTTTTAAACTGGACACCATCTAGATAAACTAGAGTTTCTAGTGCTGAATATATGAAAAACCTGTGCTCTTCCTATTACGCATTATTCTGTTCCTCTGCCCAGGGCTGGTATTTGTGACACCACGCTGCACTGACAGCTCCACGTTGCTGCTTATCACTACAATGGCACCAGTAAAGTGGGGGCAAGGGGAAGGAAAGTCAGGGAAAACGTTTCTCTTGTTTTCTTGCTGGCAAGACTGACTACCATTGCGGGGTGTGGAGGAGCGGTGTCGTACCGCCTCCCAGGGCAGGCGTGGGGAGGGATGCGGGGAAGGACCCAGGGTAGGATGCAGGGAACAATGCAGGGAGGGATGCGGGGGCGCTCGCAGGATCGTGGTGGCTCAGAGCAGAGCTGGAGCAGGCGACAGGAGGTGACCTGCCACCCGCACTCAATGGCTGAGTTAGACAAGTTCATGTTGCCAGCTCTCAAAGTCTCCACGGGCAGAGACACAAAACGGTTCCTGCTGCCTGCGGCTGAGCTGCTGCCCTGCTCCCCTGAGCCTCCCTGTTGCGGCTGAAGCCCAGGGCCCCTGGCCCAGCTCCCCGGGGCAGCCCAGTCCCCTTCTCTTTGAAGATGCCTTGTGATATTTGGAAGCTCATCGTGTCTCCCCCGTGCCCTTTCCTGCCCAAGCCCCTCAGTCATTTCTTCCTCACCCTGTCTTCTAAGCTCTGCTGCTCTCACTGCTTTCTTCTGGACTTTCTCCAGTTTAGCCACAAGTTTCTTGTGCCACCCAAAACCACACTTGGAAGTAAGGCCAGCCAAGGCCTCACGGACGCCGAGTAGGGTACAGGGCGCTCCCATGTCCAAGGGATACTCTTCCCGTGAGGGCTGCATCGCTGAGCCCCGCTGCTCCCCTGGCCCCAAACCCCTCCTGCAGCCCTGCTGATGCTCTGGGCTCCATCCTCTGCTTGCTCAGTGATTGCTTTCACATGATTGTTTTTAACTTAAACATAGCTTTCAAAACTTTTTCTCCAACTTGTTGAGATTATTTCAAATCCTGAGTCTGTCCTCCAGTGTGCCTCCAGTCACTTCTGCCTTGCAGGGCAAAATTTACCAAGTCTTTTCTTTTTTCCATCATCTAGATTACTCCTAAGAATACCAACCAGCATCAGAGTCAGGGCAGACCTGGGGAATCCTACTCAGTATGTCCTTCCAGTCTGACAGCAAGCCCCCAACACACCCTCCCCAAACACCACTCCTAAACCATTGCCATGCAGTCCAATGACTGCATATTGCTTCAGCTAAAACGTGTTTCCCTCTGCAGCCTGGCAGCATTTCAGAGCGCAAGAGAGGTTCACTCCAACAGGATCAGCTGCACCCTGGTGAGGGGCTGGGCAACGCATGGTTCCAGCACAAGCTAGAGGGAAATGCCTCCGTCTGCAGAGCCGCCCCGGGCACGGGTGCTGTCTTAGGGGCAGAGGAGGAGTCCCTGTGGCAGGGACTTGTCCCCATCTGATGCCCTGGCCCTCCCAGAGAGGGAGTGGGAGGGCAGTGGGCAGTGCCACCAGGACCCCTCGGTGCCCCTTCTCACCGTAGGACTGGAAGATCTTGCTGTTGACGATGTCGGTCAGGGACTGCAGCTTCTGCTTCAGCAGGCGCTGGGGCGGCAGGTTCCCAATGAAGTCCCGCAGCAAGGCCCTGCCGTCCAGGCGAGAGGATTTAACGAGTGTTAAATATGGGGCTTGCAAGAACCCCGCTTGTTTTGCAGTCCCGAGCACCTGCAGCCCCTTTCCTTCTGCAGAAGACAAATGCAGCAGTGGGGGTCGGGTACCGATTGCCCCTGTATTTCGGTCAGGACAGGGCTGCTGGGCAGGGGGAAGCCGCTCGATGGGGGCAGAGCTGTGTGGGTAGGTGCAGGGCAGGATGGTCCCACTGCACAAAGCTGCAAGGCAGCCCGTGCCCACCACAGACGGCCACACAGAGACACCCGGCGTAAAAACCCTGCCTGAATTCCTGAAACGGACCCGGCTGGGACTGAGGGTTTCCAGGCTCAGCCCCTGCCAGAAGCACAGGCTACTGCTAAAATTGAGCAAAACCCTCTCCTGGTTTTGCACTAGGAAGGCAATTCCCAGGCATCAGGACACCCAGACCCCTTTGCCTGCCCTGGCCCTCGGCTTGACAGCGTCAGCCTGCGTCCCTGCTGGCAGCTCCGGTATGGGGGGGCGTCACTGTGGGATGGGAGCAGGGGCAGAGGTGGCTGTGGCAGGCACCAAGCACGCTGCAGAGCAGGACTGGGGATGATGGGGGCGACAGGGACCCTACCCCAGCGCAGAGGAGTCGAAGATCCCAAACACGTCCTCAAGGATGGAAGGCAGGTACTTCAGGGCTGCTCCCTGCAAAGAGATGAGAGAGCTGCCTGCACTGGCCCTGCTTTGCCATGTGCCCACGGGGCAGGACAGATGGACAGATGCCACACGGGCAGGGAGGTGACCCCTGGCTCCTCCTGCTTCCCCCCCAGGTTGTGGGTGCTGAGCAAGCACCATCCTCGTTCAGCTCCCCCTTTTGTTAAAGCAGCGCTGCGCTCAGCCAGCCCATCGCCCTCGACATCCCTGGGGAAGGCATGTCCAGACGGGAGCAGCTTCCTTTTGCCAAGCTACCAGTGTCCAGCAAAGCACCCAGAACTGCTACGGTCACATACCTCTACCACTGTCAATAAGAATAACTGCCTCCAGCTTTTACTTTGAAACCACATAAACTCCTACAACATGACTATGAGGTATGTAGGCCCTGGCTTGTGTTGCTTGTAAAACCCTCCAGCACCGCTCACGGCTGCTGGCAGTCACTGCTGCCGCAGCTGAGGCTGCTGGAGGAGCAGGGCTGCCCTGCACCCAGCCCGGCTCCACGCTCTTGCTGGAAGGCTGCAAGGGTGGGGGACACATGGCTATTTGTTTTTTGGAACAGCAAACACACAGACCACAAACTGTTCTGCATTAAAATCGACTTTGTTATGTTTATGATGTGACTAAGTAGCATAAACAACTTGCTGAGTTCTGCTTATCTCTAGCTTTGCCAGGATAGCTGGTCCTTCAGGCTTCCCTGGGCTTCAAATTGTGCTGAAAGTGGTGCTGGGGACCCTCCAGCCTCCAGGTGCAGCCAGAGGTGGTCTCTACACACTTCTGCACTTCAACATCAGTTTCAGGAGGTTCAATGCCTGCAGACCCACACGGGGCCAACCGCTACACGATTCAGCTCCAGGAATTTTTACTCAGCGGTTTCGGCATCGAGTCTGTCGTCTCCCTCTGAGTTTCAGCAGGAGTTTGAGAGATTGGTGCCTATTGCAAATTCACCTAGTTTTAAAAAGTGCCTGGACAAGTTCACCTTGGACACATCCCTCAGAGCACAGCGAATATGGAGATTACGGGCACAGGCTGGGCGAGTCCCTGGAGGGGTTTGCCCCGGGAGCACCCTGCAGTGGGACCGAAACCTCTGCTTGGCTCTGACGCCTTGCTGGGCGGCTGCTGCCCACGTCAGGGCAGTAACAGGCAGGGAGGACCCTTGGCCCAAGCCGGGATGGTTCTGTGAAGATCTCCAGATGTGATTAAAAACTCCATCCCAGAGGTCCTGCTGGCCCAGAGCCGGCTCCAGCAGTGGCAGTCGCC